CCGAACCTAGCCTCGACTACCGTTGCCGAGGCGAGGCGGCCTCGCGTTAGCGACAAAAATTAGTCGTAGAGGTAGGTTTTGAAACCTTAGCAACAAACGCTGCTTTTCGAGAATCGCTTGTATGCATGTTCACAAATGTCAAGCCTTGACTTTCTCATAGATGCCCAGATCGTTCTGGTTCATCAGGATCACAGCACCCGTGAGCTTTTTCAGCTCTGTTGCCCCAATGATATGATCCAAATGCCCATGCGTAATTAGGATTCGCTTGCAGGTCAAACCGTGGAACTTCAGGCGGCTCATGATATGATCGACATCTCCACCCGGATCGACCACCAAGGCATCTTTGGATTCGGTGTCGCCGACAAGGCTGCAATTGCACATCAGCGGCGGCACTTGGAAGATTTCTATAACGGGCGCCATCACTCAAAACGCGTCTCTGATCTTACAAAGCTGCGAACAAGCAGACTTCGAGGTGGAGGTCGAGCTGCTCGCGTCTCTCTTGACGAAGAGACTGCAGCGAAGCATCACAAAGACAAAGAATGAGACGAGAGGCACGGCTGGTGATCAGAATGAAATGAACTTGAAGTGCTGGAACCCAAAGCGCCTTAAGGTGGCCCAGGACGATTCGGTCTGTATATCAAGGCGGCCACATGGGAAGCAGTAATGACACGCGCCACTCAACAGGGCTGCATGGTCACTCTCGCAGGGGAAGTGCTTCGAAGCAGAAACAAGGGCTTTCTCATGGAGTTTACAATGGCAGCTGATGGATCTCCTGTGGGTCGGAGCCGCCACGATCGATTGCAGTCGCGGCAGACGCTCCTTCCTGCACAGCTCTCTCTTGTTTGTCAACAACAACCCTTATGACTTGGCGGAGGCCTTGCAAAAGGATAGCTCTGCTGCTTGCAACCGGCCTCAAAAAGGTGAACATTTTTTGGTAACCATGCATGCAAGGGATCACTTGCCATCATCCCCTCCCAGTCCGTCAAGTGGCCGCCGGATTGGATCATTCCGCGTCTGGCCTTTCTGAATCGGAACATGGAAGGTGCGTTATGTCCTCATATACTGTCTGTAGTCGCACCGGGTGTGCAGCTGCCGTAGACACGTCTGCCGTTCCCGTGCCGCAGATGACTCCAAAAACACCCTGCAAGGCAAACGGAAATCCAGCGTCGGAGCTAACAAAGCCGGAGAAAAGAGTTTCATGCAGAGAAGCCTTCCGTGCAGCATTTGCTGTTGCGAGCGCACGTGAAGCGACCGTGGCAGCATCGCACGACGTCCCTGGCCCAATGTTGACAAAGCGTCTGAGTGAGTAAGTACTCAGCTGCACCATGCTGCACCCCAAGGACCACTATATACCACTACCAGACACACCAGTGGGAGTGGCCCATACTAAGTAGGCTGGGCTGCTCTGGTACCGGTACTGTACGCAAAATACGCTAAACACATAAACTGACATCGCGAGCACTGTCCGACCTGGGGAGGAGTTGGTCGCTCCGTCTGCCGCACCTGCCTTCGACAGGCGAACATTGAATTTGAATCTGGTTGGGCCGCTTGCGCACACATATTCGCCGGCTCCTCTGGTCTACTGGTTCCAACCACATGCATCCTCCAGCAAAAGCGTTCGGCCTCTGCCCACAAGGCCTCAAGCTCCTCATCGAAGTCGTGTCTCCCAGCTGCGGACTGTTCGATCCATTCTGCCTGGTCTGAAGGTGGCAACGAAGCCGCTTCAAGTATTTAGAAAGGCTAAGTCGGCCAAGTCTTTTGCATCCGAGAGGCAGCTTCAGAGATGGCACCCAGCGCAACCTTTGCAGATCGCAAAAATCATCCAATCCAGGTGCCCGATTCCGATGCCTTTGTTGTGGGATAAGTGTCTCGCCTTTGGCTTGGGTCTCCTCGATGCTTTTGCAACCTGGTTCGGAAGCATCTCGGAGGGCCACAAGGGACGGCTCGCGCCCTCGGCCGCGGACAGACTGAGTGCTCTGGCCAGTCCGTTTCGCGGGTGGTCTGCCACATCAAAATCAAAGGCACTCATGAAGCATTTCGAACCACCAGGAAAACCGACAGTGCCGCTCCTTGACAGGACGGCAATGCCCCGTTGCTTGCCACACGGCGCATCAGTCATGGATTGCACGTACAAATTCCCGCTGGGGTTGATAGCTACGAATTATGTGAATGTCACCATAGGATTCACAGAATTCTAGGGCTGGGAAGCGAAGGCGTGTTTTAAGCAGCTTCTCCCCCACGACTCGAGGTTGAACCTTGTCACTGGATCTGAGCCCGTCCTACCGGCCGCGGCGTTGGCAGAGTCTTTTGGCCTCACTTTGCTGATTCGGAAGTTCGGAGCTCGTGCATGCCTCGAACTGCCCATCATAGGAATGTTGAATACATTCTTGAATATCTGCTGTCTCTTCTGGAGGTGTGACGGGAGACAGAAGAGCGCTGCAGAAACCCGAGTATCACATCAAATAAGCTGTTTCACACCTCCCAAAGCTACTGAGTACCATCGTCCGAGGCTGAAGGCTCAAGCGACTTTTCAGGCCAAGAGCTGCGTGTTGGTAACTTGGCGTCATGCGGAATATGAATTTGGCTCCCTGCCGAGCGGAGATTGCTTCAATCTTGAAGGTCAATCTTCTATGCTCCAGGACAGGGGCTTTGCATACTTTTTGCATGAGTTCAACCACTCCTCGCTACCGATCCGAGCAGTCCTTCTGATCACTTCCTATTCCAGAGGTCTGGCCTGGCCAGCACCGGCCGAAACCGCCAGATCACCCCCAGTCAGCGCTGAGGCAAGCAGCGGCTGTACACATAAGGTGCCTGAAGCATCATTCAACTACATCAGCGGACTGCACGCAGAGTTTCCCCCTGCAGAAGACACGCTCCTGTGCCATGGGCATCGCCTGGAACTTGGACCTTAGATTCTTCTTGACATGCTGCCACAGTCGACCGGACTTGTCGAATCTGGGAGCTCAGCGACATCACTTGGCAAGCTGCCTTGGGACAGTCGGCACGGCTTCCGGGCATCGAAGTTCCCTTCCCGAGACCCGTACTGGTGCAGTGGTACCCTGCCCAGGCAATACGGGTCACTTGTGTTGTCCATGTCCGGCACACACATGGAGCTTTCGCACCTGCTGCCGACGTGCATCGAGCGAGTACAGGCTGGAGTTGAGCCTGAGTGTCTGTACGTCTACAACTCAAGCCTAGATGCCTTCTCGCGATCCGCGGTCGTAGCGACACTAGGGAGATGAGCAGCGAGCTTAGTTTGAGTAGCTCCGGACTCTTGCTTGACGCCACCGAAATCGTTTACGAGACCTTTCTGGCCGAGGGCTTCACAGGGTTTCACCGTGAGTCGTTGTTCATTACTTGACAAGGTGAGAGCTCTTTGGCCCCCACGGAGACCCCAAAAGCCCGAACAGTCGGCCCTGCCTTGCAAGGACTCACCGATGTTCACGACGTCCTGGACCATCTTCTGAAGCTGCACCTCAGGCTTCCATCGAAGAAAGATGCTCGTGACACTTCGTAGACGACGTCGAAGGTCCCCGAAAGTAAGAAGTCGACTTTCCGCTTTTCAAGCTGGGTGCGCAGGTCCTCACATGGCTCGCCCACAGGCTTGTCCCAGGCATAGGTGCGACAACTTTGCATTACAAGCCGTAACATCATCATCCAGCAGGCAGTCGTCAAATCCTGTGACAGCTGATCCGTCTCACTCTTGAGTTGGTCTGCACGGTCCAGCACCTTACATGGTAATCAAAGCAAACGTATCAAGAACGAAGTGGGTGAGGACAGGCGGGTCACGGTGCCCTGCAAAGTGTCCGTCTTCTGGTTCAGCGAAGCCAGGTCGTCCCGCATGCGCTCAGAAAATTGCTGCATCTCCTGTTCAGGCTCGGCTAGGGCTCCAGTGCTTCTTGAAGCTCGAATGCCATGAAACAGTCACTATGACTATGTGCTGTTGGAAGGGAACTTGACTACAGCCAGGCTTCCCTCGGCCTGGGCCGCTGCTCGAAGCTTGGACTGTGACTGGTCAGCTGCCTCCAGAGGGCGACATTTCGCGACAGGTCACCGGTCACATCTTGACCGGGGCTCTGGCATCCGCCAGCTGGGCAAACGCGGTCTCATTCCGAACAGCCTGATTTCCGATGGGTTTCAAGACCAGTCGCTACCCGTCGCACAGCTGCAGCGGGGCCTGTTCGTTTAACATTTGTATCTTCATTTTCAGGTCCTGAAAGCCACATTCAACATTGCAGCTGGCGGCTAAACTTCCCTGCATCTACCACAATCCTGATCTGCGGCAGCATTGTTCCGCACAGCTGCAGTGATCTCCATGAAAACAGAGCTTAACGACTCGCGAATCCTGATAGCCGTCAGAACGAAACTGAGTCTGCTGTTGCGGCTACATCAGCTGGGGCGCCGGCTCGTTTATTTCTGATTGCATCTGCTGTTGTATGGCCTAGCAGTGTCAATCGGCGAGTGCATCTGCCCAACATGCCGCAAGATGAGATTGATTTCTTTTCGCGAACATCGACGGTCCTGACCTAGGACAGGCCACTTCTTGTAAACACTATTTTAAGTTTGATCGTGTTTTGAGGATTACATCGCGAAAGCTGGAACAACTCTAGGAAGAACCGGCTCCAAACCGATATGAATTCGGAGCCCAAGCCAATGCTGCAAGCCTCGATTTGGGAATACCACCTCAATGCCGGCAATTTGGGGCCCAGACCGCCCCATGGCGTTTGAAGTCCGCGAGGTCGCTGTGATTGCCGTTGATGGCATTCTTGATCGTGTTGAGCTCGATCTGGCAAGCTCTGAGGCAGCATCCAAGGACTGCTTCTACGCAAAGCTGCACCTGGAGTGATTTCTGTGAGTTGGAGCTTTTGTTCTTCAGCTCCATGACCTTGTTCTCTGGAGAATCGGACTGTCGTGTCTGACCCACTCTCCTCGCCGTGAATTTTATTCCAAGCACAACGCCCATTGTGCAAATGCCAGCACCGTCACATCCACATCGAGCATGTTCTCGGAGCCTGAGTGCCATCTGCGGTTCCGGTCTACAACGAAAGCGTGTCCATCACATGATGCGACAGCATCACAGGGGTGAGATGCCAACCGACTGAGCTTTGCCTGACAGCACGAATTCTAAAATATCCTTCGCACTGCACGCCCAAGGCGGCACGGTCTCACGCAACGACTGAAGCCGAGCATACAGAGCCAGTCTTGTGACATTCATTTTCTTGTGTTAGCGTCGTTTCCTTGCCGTTGCTCGAACCATAATGAAGCAGTGTTGCTGATGTTGCAGCCTTGACATAGGTTTGTGCTCGAAAGATGCTGCAACAGCTTGAAGATCTAAAGGCACGAAAGGCACTTTAGGAGCATCGCGTTTTTCGTTTCTCTTTGTATGAGTTTTTCACTGCAGCGCGGGCTATTTGCTGGCTTGTCAAAGCTAATTTGTCACAATGTCGTCATGGCAGTCGCCTCTGCCTCTTTCCATACAGACTTCAATTCATTGCAACATATTCCAACAAACACCAATCACATTTCTTGAACAAGTTTCCAGCACCAACGTCATGGCGGCTGACTGGCTGATGGCTGCCCTTGGAGGCGACAGACTGTGCTCTGTGCTGTGCCAAAGACGGCTTCTGGTGCTCTTAGAGCGGCTTTCAGTGCTTCACATGTCCCTCGGCCTGTGTAAGAGACTGGCATCAGTGACGCCCGAATACTTATCTGAGTTCTCGGCTGATGCGGAACCGGAGTGGGAACCGGGGCTGCCTTGCAAACAGTTCATGCGACATGAAGCTATCCAAAGTGGAGGCACATCATGCCTGTGGCACAGCAGATACCGCAGAAACAGGAGATGGCTGTGCACCAGGAACAGCCCTCTCGTGCGGCAGCGGAGCCGCCTGAGTGCGCAACACGGGCCCGCAACACGGACCTTTGTTGTCTGAGAGTTTCTTAGTTCAAGCAGCCGTTGTGCAACTGATTCACTTTGCATTCACTGGCGCCATAAACGGCCTCGTTAACTTCCGGTCGGGCGGCGTGAGGCCTTGGCACACACGGTGCATGTGCAAACGAAGGGCTGCCGATCCTTGTGGGCTTTACATACCATACATACCAGTGCAGTCCCAAGCAGAGCAGTCGAGGTGCTGAGCGCGTCGATCGGATCTTTGCCGGCCCTGCAGATGCAGCGCTGCACCCTCAGGCTTCCCCCGCTGGCCAACTCGACCAAACCAACACTGGACGGTATGCAAAGACATATTCTGACAGAGGACTACGTGCGGGTAACAAAGAGAAGTTTCTGGGCATGCGCACTGAGCGTCAAAGGGTCTGACAGTCCCAGCATATCTCTTGTAGCGGGCACCACCGGTTCATCGCGGTTGAGCTGTACGAGATGGGCGAGGATGTTTCAATCCTGGCCCGAAGAAACAGTCCCAACAGCTGCCAAACTTAAAGGAGGCAGCGGTTTCTTGACCAGTTCGGTCTGTACAACTGCGTGCAATTCCAAATTGCAAAAACTGGAAAATTGCCGCCAGTGAGACTCAAACTCCAACGCAGCTAGATGACAAAAGGCTGTACACTCGAATTGCTACTATACCTCACATTACATACATGCGTTCGCTACTGGCACAGCCACTCCAGCGCATGCTCGGGTGGCTCTGTTCGCACTTTCGACGCACTTCAAGCACTCTGCACCACACCAGGACCCCCAAAAGCACGACCACTTGCAGTGGTCGGCCCCGTATTTCGCTGTTTCTAGAAAACACCGAGCGCACCTCTCCCTGACCCCTGTGCTGGCGGTGATGCAAGAAGTGAACGTGGAGTTGTCGAGACCATCAAATAGATTGAAGCTTCTGCTGCCACACTCTGAGATAAGCTTGGGGAAGCTCCCGAGCGCACTTCCTCCACCGAGCTTGGTCATCAAGATCTCGTCGTCTTGATCGCAGCCAGCAGCAACAGTCACCTCTTGTTCGCCCTGCCGCGTGGAACGCAAACGCCTGTGCTCACCAGCAACGGCGTCAGCAGTTGCGGTATCGATCCAGGAAGCCACCATGATGGCCGTGTAGACCAGCTTCGTGACCATGGCTGCCGGCAGCGCGGTTGCGGCAGCTGCGCTTTCTATGGTGAGCCTTACATGCAAGTGCCAGCAGAAGCACGAATGCTGAGTCCTGACCGCAACATGACTGAGACAGGCAGGATCCACTAAAGTACAACATGCCTCGTGCCGTCAGTGGCTTTGTCGTTTGCAACTAATTGACTTACGGGGCAAGTGAACAGGCATGTCAGGCAATCTTTATCGGTCTCCTGCATTAGCCTAGCAATGCTACAATTTCCGACAAGTTGGCCGTTCTTCCAACTCTTCTGCACAAACTGTTTCCCAAAAGCTGTTTAACAGCAGCTACCCGTTCCTGCACAAGAATCCGGTTTTGCGAAACAGTCAAGAAAGCACGCTACTAGTTACTAGTTACTAATGCGTTCCGAAAGGTGCCTGTTGTCAGACATAACGGTGGCTTGTGCTGGCAAGCAATCTGGCAAAAGAGCCCACAAGAACTGTCACGAGTCTGAGCCTGCATCAGCCTTTGCCGAGGTCGCCCAAGCGGACCTTGAGACCGTTAAACGTTAGACCTTCAACTAGGAGATCCTTCAGAAGCTGGGCTCCAACTAAGGCAGCAGCTGGGACGAGTCTGGCAACGCTAGCACGTGATTCTCTCTGTGAGTGTCCCGTGAGGTTAGTGCATGGAGGCATGGAGTGCAAGCACAATGTGTGCCGTTTTCATACGAGTCTGTGCTCTGCAATGCTCTGCACTGTGCTCAACCTGTCATGTTCAGCCCTGAGCTTGAGCCGCAGCTGCCGGAGACGAATGCGCAGGCGGACAGGGACCCTTCAGTTTCTGTTGCCCTTATTCTTACGTTTCCCGCGCAGCTTGGCGTAGCTGGCTACATTCGAGAGGGTGAGACGGACGGTGAAACGGCTGGTGAAGGCTGCCATGGGCCCGTCAACTCACGTTTCGAGCAACTGGCAAAAGGCACTTTTTGTTATTTGTAGCACAACTCGGCTTTTGCCCGCGGCCCCGAGCCTGGAAGCGCTCGTCATGGTGACTTGGACTGAAGAGCAGCTGCTCCAGGGTCGCCTTTCGAAGTGCTGCAGGCGCAGCTGGCAGGTGGCGGTTCTGCCTCGCCTCCTCGGCGATAGTCGCGGGGAAGCCGAAACTTGGAAGCATGAACTGCAGCAAACCTGCCAGGTTGTACACAGATGTGAGGAGCTAGCATGCTGAAGCCACACCAAAACAGCACCCCCCTCTAGCCAAGAGCACCTGCATTTGCCAAGACGGGCTTGGCCGATCCATGTCCTTTAGAAGGACTTGGAGCGGTCGTGGTGGTGTGCAGCGGCTTCGGCTTCGCAGTGAGGCAGAGTGCAGACCTCACCAAACAGGCGATGCGAATCCTTCCTCCCTGCCACACAAGCCAGCACCTAATTCCAGAGTGTGGTGCGAAGCAACCGGCAAAGCTCTGCGCTCACTGGGATCCATTGAAATCTTTTTCTTCGCTGACCTTAGCAGCTGAGGCGCATGCCGTGCCTTGAGCCTCTTCCCCGCTCGGGTTCCCTGCCGGTCGCTGACGTATGGGCGAAGTCTTCCCTGAGGCTCCTGGCAATCAGAGGACAGCTCAGGCTCCAGTTGAAGATTTGCGCAGCCTTTGCACAACATTTGTAAAACAGGCCAGAACCACATCACCTATCCGGTGCGCCTGGCTCGTGCTAAGATTCAGGGAAGCACCAACCGTCTACCCCGTTATCCGTTGGCTCGATGATGTAGCAGGTGGAGCCCTTTGAATCGGTAGACTTGAGACGTCTTGGTTGAAACAACTTGTTTCGCCTTCCATTGTCATGACAGCACATGACCCCTAAGCCCTAAGCCAAAATGGCATGACTGAATTACTGAGGCCTCAAGGTGCAGAAGATGATTCAGAGCTGACGGCCATGCCGATCGATAAGGGGTGCTGGCAGCACAGGCACTGCGACTCGAGGATCGTCTGGCTCCTGCAGGTCGGTGCAGGTCCAGCCGAGTCAGGACCCAAAGCTCAGAGCCTCGAAAAATTGAAAGCTGCTCAGCTCATCCTCCGAAGGTACCTTTCATTCTGCTCGACAAATGCTGCAGCCTTGGTGTATAGCAGATACTGGTAGCACCGTTCGATTCTGCTCTTTGGAGTGCGTTGCCCCCAAGCTTTGCTGGCCTTCCAGAAGTGATGTTCGTCACTGGCAACTCCACACTGCTTGTGAGCTAACTGAACGCACCCAGCCTATGTACATCTGGACCTCGGCTCTGCCGGGACTTGTCGCACAATCGCAGGACGTCCTCATCCAAAAGCTGAGGCTCAAGCCGAAGGGCTTGCGTCCGAAATTCTGAAGTGCCGCGGTGGCCTAGGCAGGGCGCCACCACACACAGCTCTTGAAGGCCACTTCCAAAGCCTAAGCCTGCCACTGTCTAAGCTTTGGCCGTCTGAAAAAAATCTAAACGACGACGACGGTCTGTTCCGAAGCTCGTGAACTCATGTGGCAATCGATTCTGTTCTAGAACTCCCAATTTCCGGAGGACATCAATCGGAAACAGCTCCCTACAGGCTTGGGCAAGCTAGCGCTCGAAAGATCCAAGCTGGAAAATGTTGGATTGGTAGTGCCAAGCAGCACGGAGAAGAGCGTTGCAACGCAAACACGAGTCATGCGACATTCCCAGGCCATCAACTTGAGCATCTGTCCGTCATCCTCCTATCTCTGAAGTCTGGCTGATCGTCTCTCCGAGTGCTGAGACTTGGGCATGGTCCGAGCAAAGTTATTTGCCATGAGGCCTGCAAGTGACTGCAGGTGACTGCAGATGATGCCGGCGCCTTGGCATTCTCATACCGCAGTTCCAAGCTTTCTCGCACCTCGTGGCCTGCGCCCGCTGCGCTCGGAAGCTTTGTCGGGCCTGGGCTGTGCTTGTCAATGCATCCCGTGGTCGTGTCGTAGCACATGGCGCTGCTCGCCTTCTCAAAGGCGCAGAATCCTGAAACGGGATGTTATCAGAGTGCAGCCAGCCGGGGAGCCTCCCGGCCTTTGGACCAACGAAGGGTCTCAACGACAGGCCGGCATTTATCTGGCAGTCAAAGGAGTGGCAATTCTTGCTTCAAGCAGATTTGCACCTGCTTCTCTTGGACGGCATGTTCCGGATTCATCGGCTTGTGGAATGCTGTCCCTGCAGACCCGCGCGCCACAGATTGAAAGTGGCTGGCACGGGGAAAAAACACGCAGAAGCTTCTTCGCGATATATCTCGTGCTGATCCAGCATGCAAAGCCGGAGACCAAGCTTTCGCCTGCTTTCTCGATTCCCGGATGATTCAGGAATGGTCTCAGCCTGCGAGACACTTGCATCCACGTAAGACTGTGCTTTTATTCCCATCCGAGGGCACGGCGAAGACGTCTGAAACACGAAGTCCGCTGCAGAACACGCTGACGAAGCATCAACAAATGCAGCCATGGCTGGGCTGTCGAACAGATCGAACAAGCCTGAATGCCATCATCCTTCGATTGCTTAGCATGCCTCACAACAAATACAACACCACAGAAGAAGACCAGGCGACCTGTGCGATGCTTTGACAGTTCCATCTGTGTTGAAACACGACCCGAAGACATGATACGTGCCGGGCACGGGTCAGATCAAACATGTACATGGCCCCTGCAGGAACAGCCGTCGACGCACAAAACAATCTACTTGGGCCTGCCCCTTCATCATTCCCCCAAGCTGCTTTTTTTGCAATCAACTGTCGCTGGCACGGTGCTGGGCGTCGTCGAATGGTTGAACATGGCATTCGCCATGGGCTCATGTTACAATCTGGCTTCCGTCTGCACAAAAAACTTGGGGGCCTCGGCATGATGCCAAGACAGGTGCTCCCAATGAAAGGAGATCTGCAAAGAGGTCCGTGGCATCGCATGCAAGTCGCAACAGCTATCCATCGAGGCATCCATGAAAATAGCTCTTGGCTGGGGATGATCAATATTCAAAACATCTTTCACGAAGTTCGGAAGCCTCGGATCTCTCTGTAGTTCTCTTTCTGCGAGCACATTGATGGATTCAAGTAGCCGAATTTTGCCATGCAGTGCAGTTCGCCGGCTCGAGTCAAAACTCTAAAACGTGCGGAAAAACTGAGAGACCACTTTAGGCATCTAGGATCTGGGCGAGGCAGAGGCTTCACGATGGTCGGGTGACAGCATCTCCTCCTTCCTGTGCCCGCTCATGGCTTCCAGCCGCTGTTGCCTTCTCGGAAGAACGTGAAGAAATGTGAACCCTCAAAGTATGCTAGTCGCACAGTCGCATAAAATCACATATCACTCGGAAGCTCAGAGCCCGCGGCAGGCTCCGCAAATTTTGCAAAGCTGTCAAATGCCCGTTTCGGGATCGAATCTGGCAGCTTGGCAAGCTTGACGAGGCAAAGAGCAAAACCAGCAGCCTGGCCTTGTCGAGGTGTGCAGCTAGTTCGGTGGCCTCAGAATTTTCTCGCACATCTCAAGGTCCTAGGCCGTCGCAGCGAGTTCGACAGGGCCCGTGCCGCAGAAACCGGGTCACACGTGCAGCCCCCTTGTGGTGCTGACTCCTCAGCTTTACGCACCTCAGAGCATTGCAAGCTTTCAAGGCAACTTTGACCGAGTCGCATTTTGAGGCTTCAGGCGGCGGCAAGGGCTTCCAGCACTTTGATTAGCGGCAGCACGGCAAGCTTTCTAGAGTCGTTGAGTTTGCAAAGGACCTGCGCCACCGGAGAGTTCATTTGGGCAGTCGAGCGCATCCTCTCGGACCCAAGCACGAACAAGCCCGAGCGTGTCCTTGGAGTACAATCTGGCACCGTATGGCTTGAGAATAACAATGACAGCACATCTCTCTGAGGCCGTATCGTACGGGCATATCCAGACACCGATCAAATTTTCTGGTGAAGGATCTTCTTCAAAAAGATTTTGACCTCAGCAGCTCTGGCAAGGAATGCCCGGGTGTGGGGAGGGGGGCACTGCCACTTCAGTTCAACCTGAAAGCCAACTAAAACCGATTGCATGTCACTGGCGATGTGTCTGACTGTCTTGAGACTGACAGAGATTCTGCAAGCATGGAAGGACTGAGGCACTGAAAGGAAGCAGACAAGTCGAAGCAGGAACGGAAGCAGAACAAGACATCACTAAAAAGCGGGGGCAGACTGCCTTACGCGAAAAACTGGGCTCCTCTTTGAATCCAATGGGCTTTTTTTGCTTGGATTAAACCCCGAGCATGTCGAGATGTGGGACGATGGATACAAGACGGACTCTACTGAGGACTCTCTTCACCTACTGTGCGAGCTCTCTGCTCTCTGCTCCCCGCAGCAGAAGAGGCTAAGAGACCAGAAGAGCTCTGCCTGAGGCTGCCACAGTAGTCAACTGTAGCACGAACCTTGCAAAGGCACACCACATCCGAGCCGAGCGCCCCCGAGCGCCCCCGAGCCGCCGGCACATTCATCTCGAAGGCCTTCAGCCCTGAGCGCCCCCCACAGCTCCGTCCACATGCTGACCCACCTCAGATGGCCATGTCAAGGTTCAAGTCCCTTTGCATCTCACATCCAGGTCTGGACTAAGCACAGGGCTCGCTGCAGTGCTCGTAATCAGCCAAAGCCTTGGAACTGTCGCAGTCGTTTGCTATTCTTGCTTAAGCCACATCGCGAAACTCGAGCGTCTGCATCAGGCCGCGGCTTTCTGTACAAGGCAGTGCGCGAGTGTTTGGGGATAAGTGTTCTCTTGCCTGGAGATCAGACACGGGCCTGGCCAGCTTGAGGTGTGACACTCTTCACCTGCCTGAGCTCGAGGATGGTGTCAATTATCGATGTAGCATCCTGCACAACGTCAAATACACGTGCGTACGACCGGCACTGCCACACTAGACCGCCTCGGCACTGCAGTCTCGGAGTATCAGTTGCAGCCTTTCCGCCACGCAGCATTTCAATTAGAATTCTCGAAGACGCAAGGGAAAGGCTGCTGTTTTATTGGCATTGGAAACGACTTGATGTTCTCCATGCCACATCGCACACTCATTCTGAGGCGTCCGCCTTGCCAACAGGCTCGCTTGTCGAGCCGGATAGCTACCCATGGCTTTGGAGACAAAGACCACTAGGCTTTGCTCCTGACAAGCCACTGGCCGGGCGCATCCCTTCCGTCTCATGCAAGCCCTCGCTCCTGTGTCAAACGATTTTGCCTGCCAAGCACTTTGTCAAATGCGCTGCCCCCGGCGTGGATGTCATGCTCTGTCCGTCAGCTCGGGAGTTGGGTTGTGGAGGTGTGTAACCATAAGTCCACGGCAGAACGACATTCTCCGCGAAAAACCTATGGCGACACCCACTGGGTGTGCCCGAGAGGCAGGTGCAACGTAGACTTGTGGGTTAGCACACGCTCTTGTCTTGGATTCCCTTTACTGCGGCCATGGGTTCCTGCCTTACGTCCAATAGAGGGAAATGGATGACATCGGATTCGGCCATCTTCTGCCAGACTGCTGCCGGATCCTACAGGGACAACGAACACGCAGGCTTTCAGGATCCAAGGGCCCCAAGGGCACATTGCAGCTCCTCGCCGCGCTCGTTTGCAGCAGCGGCCCAGGCCTGTGACTCGACGGAGGGACTGTAGCACCCACACACAGTTCGAGGACTCACTTGTAAAAGACCTGGTGGTTGCCTGAACGGCCTCGAAAACCTCCTCCTCCTTCTCCACACACAAATCCTGTCGCTTGCTTGCAACAAGCATGCGACAACCGACAACACTACTGACGACCAACGCTTGCCACAAGATGTCCTCGCTTGTGAGGAGTGTCATGAAAGTGTCAGTGGGCAGCTGCCGTGTGGCCTGGCCATCAGAAGTACCCCAGACCAGAGATCGGGGCACACGATGCGCACCTCTGGGCACGCCGCTAGCGCGGCTGCTCCAAACGACTCCACCTGAAGCACTGTGCTCCGGGAGCTTCCCACAAAAGACCTTGAACAGAGGCTGCTAATGTGCAGGTGGCCCACACGGCTGCGCAGCGCTTGCGACCATTGAAACCACCTGCGGGCTCCGAAAAAGCACAAACTCCGAATAACTCCCATAAACGACATCAGCGTCCAAACAACCGGGATTCCCGCTGCCCAGCTGCTGCAGCAGAGAAAAGGCCTCACCAAGCCAGGTGCGATGTGGTCGCCACAGACAAATCTGACAAGCACAAGCCTGAGGTGGCACAACTTTGTACATCTGTTTGACTGCTCCCAAACTCCGAGGCGCGGACCAACCGCCCCCGCTGCTTCTCTGGCCTCTAAGGCCACCCAGCGCCTACACTGCAACTCCAGGTCCTCCGAGACAGCAAGCGGTCTGTGAAATGTCTGCAGACGAGCACGGTAGTCCTCAACCATGTACTTGCGAGCAGCATCAAGGATACCAAACACGGTATCCCAAGTCAGAGTCACATCCATGTCCTGCAACTTATTCTCGTTAGCGTCTCTGCGCATGCACCACCGTCGTGGCACACCGAGAATCGGACATACACCCAACGATGCAGTTGTCGGAATGACTTTGGCATGATGTCTTCAACTTTGACCTCAATTGTACACTCGAATTCTACTTGTTGCCCCAGCCACCCCGTCATGCTTTGAGCTGAGAAAGCCACTACCACGCGCGGAGAGGTTTCGTGCTGTTCACGAAACCCTGCCTCAAAAAACATCTTCGAGAAGACCTCGGAAGCTCGAGCGTAGATGGCCTGGCAATGGCAGACACAAGTCGCCAGATACGAAATCGTGTTGATGCCCAAGCCCCGGCCTTCAAACCAAAAAAGCTCTCGCCGTCGGGGCCAACCTGGAATTCGACATCCTCAGAGCTCTTGCTGGAATTCCGGTCACTTCATAGGCCGCACTTCCTCTCAGATCTCCATAAGAGATACTGTCAGTCCGAACTGAGATTGCAGCAGAGTAGGTGGCTGAGTTTTCAAGCATCACTTGCATTCGCTTGTGCTTTGCATCTGACCTGAGACTCCTCACGTGCAAGCCGAACCAGGAAACTGCATTCACACGTCACACTGGGGTGCAGACCGATTCATGTCGAAAAGGTCGTATTCAAGTGGGTGAATTCAACTAGTAGCTTTGCGAGAATGCTCGTGTTTGACTGGTGTCTGGTTTCGGGGTGTTGATGGGTGTTGGGGCCACGCCCTGCATGGACGGACATGGTATCCGGAACTGTGTTGTGTGCTGTCAAGGGAGTCTTGTGTGCAGGTTTGGCATGCTCCGACAAAGTGCATACTAGCGGTTTGAACAACACCTGAAAATCCGAAACACTCCATGGTCATCCCTGGAGCCAACGCAAGGCGCAGCGAAGCTTGAGCCGCATCGATGTTCTCGCTGCGCCCGAAACCGCGCATGACGGAAATGAAAACACTTTGCAGGCCCACTGGGGATGCGGAAAAGGTCTTCGGCCAAGCATTCACGAAGTCGCTGCGGCCAGCAGCCTTAGCTC